GTTGAGTAATTTATTGGATGTTATCGAAATAAAAAATAGCAATTACCAGCTCAAATTGATGAGTTTGATAGTTTTGATACTAATATACTCCAAGATACTTTCAGTAATTTCGATATAGCCGATGTAGTGTATTAAAAAGTGTTATTGTTCTTGAATCTCAGCCTCAGAGTCAGTTCTTTATTCTAACCGTAAACTTTCTCGAGTTAGTGACTTGTGTACTCCACTTGTGACTGTATTTCTGGATTTAATATAAATCTATTGTGACTGGTGGTAAAGTTGAACTCCAATGACAAGCCCACATGGCCCGCCTCTTACAGTTCCACTAAAACATAAACCATAACTGAATGTACAAAGCTTAAATGGTTTGAATAATAAATTTAAGCTTTCTACTGTCAGTTATGGTTTATGTTTTAGTGGAACGCTCCTAGAGAAGCTGTAAAGCAAAACATTAAGTGTCCAATTGAAGAAAAAATAACAAATTTTGGTGTTTTAAAGTCATTTATTTCTAGTATTAAAATATTTTTTGTACACCAACGTGCACTACAGAAATGAAATAATTGTTTGGCTTTGCATTAAAGAAAAACTAGTTTTTATTTACTATCGCTTTCATCTGTAACTGACTTTGTTGTTCTTAATTTTTGGTTATATTTCATCTTTTTCTGGAGTTTTATTATGTTGCTCTTCATTTTAAGTATGTGCAAGTTAAGTGTGTTAATCTGACTTCAATACCTCGTTTGTTATTTTATTATTACTGCTGAGTTTATTTATTATTTTATTGCTGTTCAATATGATTGGTTGACTGTAATTTGTAAGTTTCTAAACTTTACTGGAGTTTATGTTCAACATTATTATGTTATATGTTCAGTTTCCCATTTACTTCTGTAAAATTAATTTTCCCACTTTTGTTGAACTATCTTTTAGTTAAACAACTATCATTTTATAACGTTTTAAGAATAATTTAGCTCACTATGTTATCTTTAGCACTTTAAGAAGGGTGTGGTAAATAAACACTATGTATCTTACTTGAGAGCCAGGTGAGGCATATAAACACATATTCCTATGTATTAAAGACAGGTGCGGTTTTAAAACCACTATGATTGCACTCTCTTTCTTTTGCTTACTTTCATTGGTTAATGCATTTTAAAGTTATAATTTGATTGGATAAGCACCTTTATGTCATTAGATACCATCCAGCTACCTCTACATCATCACATACTAGCAAATGAAATATCTATTTATAGTATTTACCTTAAAACAATGAGTTGTATTTGAATTAGATACATTTTCTTTCAGTTATTTGCTCATCATGGACGAACCATCTATGTCATCCTCATTCACGAGTACCAAAAAACGCCCTTTTAGTCCTCAATCAATGCATAAAATTATAGATGAATGGTGTGATGAAGAAGAATTGTCTGATTTGAGTGGCACATTACTTCAGGTAGCAATAATATTTCAAGTGGTGAAAGTGAGCCCGAGAAATGTTCAGATAATAATCATACTGGTAACATTACATGGAAGAATGGGGATGATTTTATGCCTCATGAATATTTATTCTCTAAGGAAAATTCAGGAATTTGTGATTCATTTCCTATTCAAGAGAATGCACCCGTTATTGAATATTTTCTAGCCTATTTTGATAGTGAACTTATGAAGAAGATTGTAGACAATACTAATATGTATCAAGAATTTTGTGTACAGAGTTATGATGTACATCAAAAGGCAAAAAAGCCAGCATTAGAGTGAGACAATAATTGATGAAATGTACCATTTTTTTTTTTCACTTATTTTATAATGCCTCATGTGAATAAAAAAAAAAAAAAGAAAGAGTACTGGTCAAAAGATGCCATTATTGCTACAGATGTTTTTGGAAAATACATGACCAGAGACAGGTTCCTTGAACTACTTAGGTACATTCATTTTGCTGATAATGAGCTTCCTGATGAAAGAGATAGATTGTGGAAGATAAGGGAAGTGATTACTATTTTGAGGGAAAAGTTTCTGCTTTTTTCTGCCCATTCCAAAAAATTGTAATTGATGAATCCCTAATGTTATTCATGGGGAGATTGACATTCAAGCAATACATACCTGCAAAGTGTCAAAGATTCAGAATAAAAATCCAAGTTCTCTATGACTGTGAGACCGGAATTATTTTGGATTTTGTTGTGTATACAGGTACCGATACTGAAGTTGCTAAAAAAGATCCTCATGGGGCTTCAGGTGCCATTGTGAAAAAACTGACACAGAAATATGAAGGAAAAAGCCACCTGTTGTATATTGATAATTGGTACTCTAGTCCTGGTCTATCTTTATATTTGGATTCACGTAATATTGGCAATTGTGGAACTGTAAGAGAAAACAAGAAGAATGTTCCTAAGTTTGTTAATCTGAATCTGGTGAATGTGAAAGGAAGAAAAGTGGTAATTTGTTGGCTACATGTTGGGATGATAAACATAATGTGACAATGTTTACCACTTTTCATTAAGGACAAATGGTTAACAGTGAAAAGGTAAATCATAAAACAAATGATGTTGCCAAAAAGCCTGATTGTGTAATTGACTATACTCGAATATGTGGCTTATTGATAAAGCCACCATAGAATGTGTTAGAAAATCTGTAAAGTGGTCAAAGAAGCTTTTTTTTTTCCATCTGATGGATCTAGTTATGCTAAATGCTTATAATGTGTACCTAGTCAAAACGAGAGATTGCCATTTGAAATTCAAAGATTTCATTAGGGAGTTTATAAGGCAACTTCTTGAAAAATATGGTACCTTGACTAGTGTTAGGCCTAGTAGAACAGTGAGTGGTAACAATGATAGGCTGAGTGCTGTAAATTTTATGGAAAGACACTATTCTGACCACGTACCTTCGACAAGAACTAAAAAAAAAAGGGTAAACACAGATGTTTTGTATGTTCTAATAATAGCAAGAGAGAGAAAAAGACTACCTATGTAACAACATGGTGTCCAGAATGCAAGGTTGGGCTATGTTTAGGTAGCTGCTTTAGAATTTATCATACATGAAAAAACCTTTTAGAAAACTAGGTTAGAATCTTATTATTAGTGTATAGAGTAATGAAATTTGTTATTTTAATGTTTCTTACCATGTAAAAATGCTTATATTGTAAATAACTGTGCTTATATGATTTAGCTATTTTTTCCTCTTTTTTTTTGTGGCCTGTGTGTGAAGCAGTATCACAATGCATGTCCTTAAAGGGTTAATATAGCTTCCTCTATGGAATTGGAATTTTCAACCTGAATGTTATCTTTTGTGTACCTGGGCTAAATGGCCATGTCAGAGATAGTCTGGCAGACTGTATAATGAACCTGGAATTAGAATTAATACAATGATTTTTTGCAGATTCTCTCTCTCTCTCAAGACCACATATCTTATGAATCTGCCTGATGACACTATCATAGTTGATCACTTGGACATGGTTTTATTTTCTCATCCCCCCTCTCTATGTCCTAATGTAATAAGTATTAGCTTACATTGTAAAAATCAAGTAAAGTGGTTTTAATAGGTGAATGACAGTTTTTAAACAGTTAATTCTTTCATGTTTGTGTGATAATGGAAGGGGTGAAATGTTTTAGCCACCTGTATCTTCATAAGCCTAAAGCTGATTTTGTCAGGTCACTGCACAGCTCACACATCTTAGACATGAACAGAATATGATACATGGCAGATTTTCAATATTTCAACCACATCTTGGAGGCTTACAAAATATATTGCTTTCACAAATGCACTTGATTAACTCTAAAATACCTAGAGGAGCAAGTGCAATATTCACTGGCATAGATGCAGGCAACAAAGACTTGGAATTGTGATCATGTACCCATGTGTACTGTACTGGGTCAAGTGGTGGCGAGTCTTCATATCATGTAATCATGAATTTGGTAGCCAGTTCAATGACATCAGATACAGCAGCAGTGATATCACCCATTAGGGAGAGGGAATATCTAGCTTGCAGTGTCTTTAAAACAGTTTTTTGACAATGCCAAAATAGCATGTTATTGTATCACATGCTGACAGGGCATAGGAAGATATCATATCCACATCATCTGATAGCACTGATATTCCCAAACCATTTGTTGTACAAGTATTTTGACATAAAGGTGGACGTATCATCTCTTTGAATCACCAGATATCTATTTCAAGTGGGATGTTTATGCTACTTGTGATAACTAGCCTACGTTTAAGTCCTCATCTTGAATGAGTTAATCATAAATGGTTTCAGTCATCTGTTGCTTTTTTTTTAGTAACTGTCAGGATAACTTTCCAGGAGGGGTGGGGCATTAAATACAGACTTAATTAATGACTTGGTTTTACAGGAAGACACAAAAAAAAATTTAAACGGATTGGGAGAAAGGATAATTGAAATATTCTGCATATAAAAGCATAATCCGTGTACGTTTATTTCTTGCATATTTTACATAAAATAGTATTTCTTAGGTAAATCACCTGAAATTATTATTAATCCACAACTTCTGTGTTACCATCTATGCAAGCATAAAGGGAGATAATAAGAAATTACATTTCAAAATGTTGAGTATGGTGTCATCAGGCAGTTTCTACAAATGAAGAGCCTAGAAATAAGGAATCCTTAAAAAGTATTTATAGACATTAAATTAAGGTACAACATAAGATTGCCCTTTTGCTGCAAGACTATAGCTCATGAACCATGGACAAGAGGGAGTGTATTTAGCTACAGCATCTACTATCACTAGAGGTTTGCTTAGCTTTTTAAACCAAATAAAGGGATTGGGTGTCACTTTCATAAATGCATCTAACTGAAAATATGGAATGTGTTCAGTGGTGTCAGGGCTCAAACCTTGGATCTGTTTGATACACAACTTGGCATGCTAACCACCTGGATATGCTTGACCCCTCCCACCGTGATTATGTTGTAAATGCCGTAAATAATGTCCTCTGTAGAGCACCATTATCCTTCACATATTTGTAGATTTTATATTTTCCTTTAAATTGATATTGGGACTTACCCATGGTGATGTAGTTAAGGTTTATAGGTGGTCAAACTGATTTGTTGAGTTTTCTTAGCACAGCTTGGCCATAAAGATCTCTCCTTTTTTACCTCATGAAATAGTTTTTTTTTCAGCAGCTGTTATCTTTTTCACTGTTGTAAAATAGAGATGAGACAGTTAATATAACAGAGTACATAGCTCACATTAAGATTTTCATCAGGGGAAAAGCACACACTTTATTGGGATGTGAAGCAATATAGATTGTTTCTTTAAAACAATTGTGTCCAATCTCATTAATTCATTTATCTGACTGTTGTTATACAAAGCTTAGTCTACTTTTCCTGTTGGTGGTCAGGGATACCTGAAGATGACACATAAAACAGCACATTTCAAGATATAATTACACAAGTTTTTTGTAAGATAAAGAATTTTAATGTAGAATTGATTGCTTCTTAATAATGACAATGTGTTTCAGATCAGGATGATGCTATTTTCTTGCATAGTAAGACAATTCAGGATGATGCCATTGTTATTGCATTTGAAGACAATTCAGGATGCATGTTGTTTATTATACAGGGAAAAGTAATTTGAAAGACTGAGAAATTGTTTAATTATAAGGTAAGATACTAGTCTTTGCAAAGATTTCAAGATAAAACATGTTATCCATTACCTTAGGCCAGATATCTGAGAATAAACAGCTTTTACTTTTTAATAAACAAAAAGTGATGGAATAGGTTCATTCATTGTAAATTAAGGTAATCCAAGACAAAAGGTACTTTTTAAAGTGGAATGAATTTCTTATTTAAAATGAAAAGCATTTCAAAAGAGAATGGTTTTTAGTTTAATAAGACATATTTGAAAAACAAATAATATTAGTCTGCTGCCAAATTATATAATTTGGAAAAGACTGGTTCTTATTTCTTAGAGTAACATAGTTCAAATTTTTTTAAATAAACAAGATTCACACAAAAATAATAAAGGTTGCTTTATGGCTTTATTAATAGTGGACTTAAACGTTTTTTCAAAACTACTGAATAAGAATAAAGTTTAGAAAAGAAATGAGTATCCTTGCCCAAATGTAAAATCCTCAAAATATACACTGACCAGACACCAGTCATCAAGGCTAGACAGTCCAAGAAAAGCGTCTCATAGTTAAAAAGGAACAAAACAAAACCCTATGTATAATCAAAGTTTACATATTTCATATATCTTTATCACAACTAGCTTTAACTGTAGGATTCAAATGTACCATGAGAGAAAGTACAGACAACAAAAAAGATTCAATAGTTGGTGAAAAAAGTTGCACCTTTTATAAAAGATAAAATTTTAAAAACTTTCAAGGGTAATTTTTAGGAAAATATTAAAAACAACTTTTATTAGATGCACCAGTTTCAACAGTGAATTTTACCATATTTCCCTGTGTATGAGACAATACTTTTTGCTATTAAAATAATGCCTGATTTTACCCCTCGTCTTATATACAAATTCAAAGATAGAGTTCCAGTAAGAACTCTCCAGTTAATAGCATATTTATTCAAAACTACACTGTTACTTTTACTTCTATTTGCTTTTTTGAGTAAGTGCGTTGACATTGTGCCACCTACTGCGTTACAATAACATATGTGTAATTGTATCATTTGTCTTGATTCTTCATAAATAGAAGTTATTTATCTTGCATGCTAATTACAATTAATCAAGACATTTTAGATTTGAAAGGTACTGATCTCACCCGTCATACTAAAATATTGCTAATATTGTATAAAAAGTTAGTTTCTGCAACTTACGCTAACTTTGTAAACATGTTTTTATAGTAGATCACTATACCTTAAAGTTTAGTATTTTTTGTATCAGAAAAGGAGTTCAAGTGTAATGAAAACTTCATAAAGTTGTTTATTACATGTTTGTGACTTAAGTTATGCTGCATTGAGCTGTCTGTAGTGTTTGAAGAGCATAAAAAAACACTTGTGGTTGTATTGATAACCCAGAGTGCAGGTTAGTACAGTTTGAAAATAACTTCTAAAAATTTCTTTACAAGAGTAACATCCTAGACTTGCTGGACAACAGAAGTTGCCCTATACATCGAAAATAAAAGAAATACAGTTAATTTGTAAACAAAATTCAGGATCGTCTTATACACCAGCAAATACAGTAAGATTCACAAAATTAATAACCACATGTTTAGGTATATGTAGCTACCAATAAAAGATTACATTTCATGTGATGATAGACTCTGAGTATAATGTATACAAAATCATAAATTAAGTAACCATCACTTTATATCCACCACCAATTAAATTTTATATTACAGGCATCACAAAAATACTATATAACGTGCAAGACTTGTTTTTGGAAGATCATCCATAGAATAGTACACTGTTTATAACTTATTTACAGACTTCTTCAAAGTTATACAGTCACTTTTAGGATATTATTTTAGAATACAATTCTGTTATTGGCATACAAAAATAGATGAAACATGAATAAAACCAATCTGAATCCCAAGCTCAGGTAAAAATAGTATTCTTACCTTATGTTATAAATCAAAACACTACATGTTTAGCTTATTCACCACACCAACCAGTGCTGATGGATACTGCTATTTATCAAAACACGGTAAGCTTATTTACCACACTGCAATGTGCTGATGGATGCAAATGTTACATACAAATTCAAGATTTCTGATCAACTTCCTCATACATTTATGTATTACAATATGTTGGTAGAAAAAAAAAGTTGCATGCTCAAATCTCATGGCAAAAGTTTAAATCTAAAAATTTCACAGGAGCAGCAGTTATGTTGTGAAATAGAACCAGTGTAAATAGGTTTGGAGATACATTTAAAAACCATGGTAAAATCAATCCCATACAGAACGATAGCATAAACAACAAATTAGAAAATATATGCTCATTCAGTACCTACGATTCTCATGAGTACACATCAAAGTAGAGTTGTAAATCTCACAAATACTAAAGATGATCTAGTATACATGTAGAAAATATACCATGAAAAAATATACGTTTTTTATTTTTAAACTCACTTATAAAAGCTAGAAACACAAGACTTTCAACTTTAAGAATTTCAAAAAATCTACTTCACATTCTTTTTATTACACTTTGGATTAAGGAAATGCCCCCAGTTTCTTATTTTACCAATGACTAACTTTTATCTGTTACTTTTGCTTTGTATTTCTCTTGAGATATTACTGTTCTATGACTATCAGTAATATAGTGTAAGCTTTAATTAATGTAAACCATAAGTAAAACAAAAACTTGCAAAAAAGATCATTCACAAAATTAGAACATAACCCCTATGACTTTATGGAATATATGATAAACATAATTATCCAAAACCTTGTAAGTTAACATACAAAACAACATCAATCATTTCTAAAAATCCTCTTTTTTCAATATTTCAAAGTTAATTATTCTGTTAAGCATATTAAAACAAATTCTATAACTCTCCAAAGCAAATACTTTCACCAAGATAATTATTAAGCAACTCTACTGGGAGCTTTGTAAATGTTTTTGAAATAGATTGGGACCAAAGAGAATTCAAACCCATATCCATGCACGTCAAGTTCCACTAGAACAAAAAGGTACTTAGAGATTTGATATTTGAAAGTTAAGATTATTTAGAGCACCCATCTCAGAAATGAGAAACATGGGTTCAATCCCTGCTCAGTCTCATTTCTTAAGTAATACAAAAGTACATAAAAGAATGGAGTTTGTTATCGTCAAATGTTTTTAAGACAAAAAGAACACTGATAGTTTGTGATGATTATCATTTGCACTAGATCATCTACCACCAACTCTTGAATAAAAGTACAATTTTCTGTACTAATGAAAATAAGTACATTCCCTAGAATTTTAACACAGCTTGGTATTGTCAACAGAAAACACCAGTTGATTTATTGTATGTATATGATTTGATAATGATAAAACTGAAATAACTTTGCTAACAAATATGCTGCATGTGTATTAAACAAACTGATGAATTGAAAACCAAATGCCACACATCAACAAAACATTTCATATTAGTATTTCTAAACTTTTGTTATACCTTAACTAAGTTTGTTACAATTTCTTGTTAAGAGATTATCTAAACAACATATATATAATACCATGTTATATTAAAATATGGTTTGATAAAATAAGTTGGCTTGTAGCATTCCTCTAGACTATGACATAATATACAGAATATTAAAGTTGACATCAGGTGATAAGTAAAGTGGAACTGTCATGTAAGATATACATGTTAGTTCTAATCAAAATAAATTACTTTCATTAAATTATACAACTGATATAAACTTATTTTACTAGATCCTACTTGATATGTATTCCTCTTCAAGTCTATAATCATGATTTTCTTAATCACATATGATAATCTACCATCAATTGTAAAACGCCAAACTAACTGTTCATAAACAGATTCACCACAGACATACAAAACAATGTCTTGTTTTTCTTAACCCTTTCACCTCGACCACACTCTTTAAACTCCTTTCTGTGCAAGTCACAAGGTTTTACTGAGTTACATTCCAAATTTAATTAAACAATTTTGCTATCAAAGAATTCTAATGAAATTAGCATTATCATATACGTTATAATTCAAAGTTTTATATTATATGAGTTTGAATTCCTTTATATAAAAATACTTAAACTTCAGTTTTGTTGTCAAGTGATGCACGTGGAATCACAGATCTTAAAGTTTTGCCTCTTTATTTATACCATACATGTATATTTAGACTGAATTTACTGGTATAGAGCTGTTTATGCATTCTTAGTTCAAATTCCACCAGGTCAACTGGAGATCAGAAAAAATTAATTTGCTCACTACTTGATAGTAGCCACACCTTTTTATCTAGACATGTTATTTCAAGCAACATCTACTTATTTGATTGACATGTTTATAACCAACAGAAATATATCATTTTAAACTACAATCTCTCAAGTGTTACTTTAAAACTAGTGTGCAATATTCGTTATTACCAAGTACATCAAACAGCCATAGCATTGTTTGTTGATTTTGTTCTTGCTAGCACTTAGCATTCTCTCTTGCCAGTTAGTATTTAGGTGTTACTTCTATTTTTTAGTTAGTTATGTATAATATATTTTTTAAGATTCATATTTGAAAGGTTTATTAATTTTTTAAT